AGGCACTTGACTGCTAACCAGAAGGCTGGCAGTTCAAACCCACCAGCCAGTCCTCGGAAGGAAGGTTGGGCAATCTACTTCCATAGTGATACCGCCTCGGAAACCCAAGGAGGGGTCGCTATGAGTGGGGGCTGACTCAACGGCACATAACAACAACAACAACACACACACACACACATATATATAATTATACATTTATATATATAATTATACATAGTATATAGTTAATATCCTTAGGAAGGAGGGAAAGAGACATGTAAGTTGAGCAATTAAAGCTGTTCTGAAACCATGTCAATTGATCTGAACAGTGAACTTACCGCAACTTTCAAAGGTTCAAAGGAAGGGATTAAAGAGCTCTTTTTGTAACTTGGTTGAAGAGGATGGTAGCATTGCTTGACTGCATTTCGTGGGGAATGACAACGTCCCAGGTGCTTTTTCTTTTTAATTTTTTCTTCAGTCCTCCCATCCTTTGCCTGGACTTGTGTGGGCCAGGTTGGACTCCCATCTCTCTTCTGCTCTCCCCCACCCCCTCCTTCATTATAAGCATTGTTTCCGGGATAAGCCCTGATCTTGTATTCTTATACTCATGGCTGTTACTTTCTGTCAACTTCCAGAAGTAGAGATCTTCTCAATGACTTCATGCTTCATAAAATGGACTGTCCTTATTAGAAGCAGACACCAAAGAGTTAGAAGCCATGGCCTACTACACATCTTCCTTCTTCTGCCTTTGGTTGCAATTCTCTTGTCCAGAATTGTCTGCCTCTGGGGCAAAACAGGCAATTGTCTGTTTCTGGGGCAATACAGGCATCTTAGCATCCCACTTTTTTTCATATTTGAGTGGCATCTGGGATACTTTCCCGCATCCTTCCCACATACGGGTATCTAATGTGGCAGTTACTGTAGCCTCCTCCCCCCCACCTTGCAAACAGCCACCATAGAATCTTGGGCCTCTAGGATTCTCTGCCACATTTGGGTGCAAGGCTAAGCAAAATGACTAGGACAATATTAGAAAAAGAGGAGGACATTAGTGGAGAATAGGGAATGGGCAAGGTGAAAGGGTATAGGAAAAAAAGCATTCACATGGGTTTATTTGTTTCTGTAAGAAACAAGTTGAAATGTTTTATCTCATTTTGTAAATGTCAAACTATTTAGTATTAACTCAGAGTTAGGAGATTCAGTGTTGTTTTTTATGTAGCTAGCTAGTTTGGCAGTTGCCATGAATCCTGTGCACTAAAGAAAATAATCTTAAATATTTTCCCCTCATTTTGTCATATTACCTCATTTATGCCCTTCATTATGGCAGCATGTTTGTAGAACATAGATTGCTTTTAAACACTCTGGTTCCACCCATGTTTCTTTCTTTTTTCCTTGTCAATCAATGTGTTTCTAAGGAATATAACATTGTAAGATATGTTGCATGTTTTTCTCTTGATTATGATATATTTTGGAGCATCTTGAATGAACTTGACAGGATGAATTTTGTAGAGAAGCTTAAAAAAGAGGCTGTGGAAAAGGAATTGTGGTGAGTTATACCATGCACCTAGGAGCTCTGGTGGCATAGTGCTAAGGCATTTGACAGCTAACCAGAAGCCTGTCAGTTCAAACCCACCAGTCACTCTCAGAAGGAAGGTTGGGCAATCTAATTCCGTAGTGATACTGCCTCGGAACTTGACGGCACATAACAACAACAACAACAACAACAACACCTCAGAAACCCAAGGAGGGTCACTATGAGTCGGATTCGGCAGTGAGGTGTTTTTTTTTTTTTTAATACCATGCACCTAAACATAAGGAGGGATGTTTGTAGTCAGCCCTACTTGGTTGGCCTGGATTGCCTCTGTTTTTGTTTGCCTGGTCAGTGTGCTTCTCACTAACTTCGTGACTGTCACAAAGTAGTGTAGACATATGGCTCAGGTAGCTGTCTTCCAAATTTCTTGGCATAGATAAATAAACACCTCAAGTGCTGCATCTGTTTGTTGAAACATCTCAGTGGGTATTCTGTTAATTCGTGGACCACTGTTTTTCACCAATTCTCTCAGTGCAGCTTGGACTTCTTCCTCCAATACCATTGGTTCTTGAAATGATTGAATATCGACCAATTCTTTTTGGTACCTTCCATCTTCTTTTGATGCTTCCTGCATCTTTCAATAGTTTGCCCATACAAAAAAAAAAAAAAAACCTCACTGCCGTTGAGTCAATTAGACTCATAGCAACTTGTCCTTGGGTTTCCAAGGCGGTATCTCTATAGAAGTAGATTACCCAGTCTTCCTTCTGAGGAGTGGCTGGTGGGTTTGAACCACAGCTTTCTGGTTAGTAGTCAACTGCCTTAGGCACCACCAGAGCTTGCAACTAAACTAAAGGCCTGATTTTTTTCCTTCAGTTCTTTCAGCTTGAGAAATGCCAAGCATGTTCTTCCCTTTTGGTTTCTTAACTCCAGGTCTTTGCACATTTCCTTATAATGCTTTACTTTGTCTTCTCGAGCCTCCCTTTGAAAACTTCTGTTCAGCTCTTTTATTTCCTCATTTCTTTCATTTGCTTTAGCAATCCTCCAATCAAGAGCAAGTTTCAGAGTCTCTTCTGACATCCATTTTGGTCTTTTCTTCCTTTCCCATCTTTTTTCTTTTATTTTTATTTTTAGTTGCCATGGAGTATATTCCAACTTATGGAAACGCTGTGCAGGATAGAACTGCTCCATAGGGTTTTCAAGGTTGTGATCTTTTATTTATTTATTTATTTTAAAGTGTTTTGGGTGCAAATTTACAGTGCAGAATTTGTTTTACATTCAACAGTTCATGTACATTTGGTTTCACTCTCCAATTATCATCCCTAACCATCATCTCCTCCTTCCTAACTCTCACCTCCTCCCTTCCCTGTGACACTACCCCCACATCCCCTTCTTAACTATGCACTACTGTCTGTCCTGCTTCCTCTCCATGTGAATTCTGCCCTTCTGATGCCTCGTGGCCAGTTGCTCCAAGGTATGTATCTCCATAGATAACTTGGGTGCATCGCCCTGGGTTAGATGTTCTGCATGCAAGTCTTTCTACTATTGGGCTGCAAGCCAGTCCTTGGGAGTGAGTCCTATCTCAGGGCTGAAGTGTATCCCAGGGCCATAGTCTTGGGAGTCCCACTAGACTCTATCCAACCAGTAGTTCTGTTTGTTATTATTGTGTTTTGAATTTTGTTCCATGTTTTTCCTCCCACTCTATCCAGACCTCCAGTTTTGATTCCTTCCTGAGCGGGTGGCATCAGTAGCCAGGCACCATCTAGTTCTTCTGGTCTCAAGGTCCATCATATCCTTGGACTAATTGTTTCCAAAAGCCATTGATTTTCTTCACTCTTCTTCATTTCATACAAGGACCATTAGCTGCATCTTAGATGGTCGCTCAAAAGCTTTTAAGGCCCCAGTCACTACTCATCAAAGTATGTTGTGGAAAATTTTTTAAATTGTGATTTGGGTGAAAATTTACAGAGCAAGTTCACTTTCCATACAGCAGCTCACATACACTTTGTCTCATGACATTGACTACAATTTACCGCAATGTGACAGCTCCCCTCCCACTTCCTTCCCATGGTTACTTCTTCCCTGTGTCCTTTCCTCCATGCACTCCTGCCCCCTGAGCTATGTCCCTGTGCATACACAGCCCTTCTATTCTCCCATGATTGTTCTCTCCAAGGAGTGTATCTACCTAATGTAAATGTTCACCTGCCTTTTGTGCAGCTGGAAGCCACAGGTGTGGGTTCCATTCCAGACCTGAAGGGCAGCTAGGGGCCATAGTCTCAGTGGTTCTACCAGGCTCTATCAGACCAGCAAACCTGGTCCCTTTCTTTTTTTTTCCAAATGATTTTGAGTTTTGTTCCACATTGTTCTACCACTCTATCCAGAATCTCCTACATAGATCCCCCTCTGAGTGGTTGACAGTGGTAGCTGGGCACCATCTAGTTCTTCTGGTCTCACAGTTGCATAGGCTGAGGATCACATGGTGTACCAGTCGCTTGGACTAATTGTTTCCATGAATCCTTGGTTTTCTTCATGGTTGTGGAACAAGATTTTTTGTGTGTCATGTTGTGCCAATTGAGCCTGGTGTCCCCCAATACTATGGTCCTGAGTTGGCAGGCCCAGTGGTTCTCTCTCCCAAGGTGTTTGGTTTTTTAATGACCTTTTGCTGTCTTCATGTATGATGTTCTTCATGTCATCCAACAAACTTATCTGGTCTTTGGTCATTGTATTCAATGCATCAATTCTGTTCTTCAGATGGTCTCTAAATTCATGTGGGATATAATCAAGGATGCATTTTTGCTCACACGGACTTGTTTTATTTTCTTTGGCTTCAATTTGAACTTTCATATGAGCAATTTATGATCTGTTTCACACACAGCTCCTAGTGTTGTTTTGGCTGAGAATATTGAGATTCTCCATCTCTTCCTTCCACAGATGTAGTAAATTTGTTTCCTGTGTATTCCATCTAGTGAGGTCTACATGTATAGCCACACTTTTTGCTGTTGAAAATAGTTATACATAATGAGTAAGTCATTGATCTTGCAAAATTCTAACATGTGATTTCCAGCGTCATTTCTATCACCAAGACCATATTTTCCAACTGATGATTCTTCAGTTCCAACTTTCATGTTTCAATCACCAGTAAAATTAATATATCTTGATTGCATGTTTGGTCAATTTCAGACTACAGAAGTTGGTAAGAATCTTCAGTTTCTTCATCTTTGGCTTTAGTGGTTGGTGGGTAAATTTGAATAACAGTAGTTTTGAATAATAGTGGTATTCATGGTCTTCCTGGTAGGTGTATGGATATTATCCTGTTACTGACAGCATTGTACTTCAGAATAGTGATGAAATATTCCTTTTAACAATGAGTGCAACACCCCTTCTCTTCAATTTGTCATTTCTGGCATTGAAGGTCATATGATTGTCTGATTCAAAATAGCCAATACCAGTCCATTTCAGCTCACTAATGCTTAGGATGGGAGCTCTGGTTGTATAGTGCCTAAGGCACTTGACTGCTAACCAGAAGGCTAGCAGTTCCAGTCCACCAGCCACTCCTTGGAAGGAAAATGGGGCAATCTGCTTCTGTAGTAATACTGCCTCGAAATCCAAGGAGGGGTCTCTATGAGTCGGGTCCAACTCGATGGCACATAACAACAACAACAATGCTTAGGATATTGATCTTTATCCATTCCATTTCCATGATACTAGTATGTAATGTGAGGCTAACAACATGTACTAAATATCTGCAAACCAGATCAGTATCTGTTTTTTCTGTGTTCCCACGGATATCAAGGGAAGTCATACATATTATAGATTAGGATGAGTAGTGTAAGATTGTTAAGTGTCAGGGGAAATTTCTGGTAGCAGTGGAATCTTTGCATATTAAAATATTCTGTTCCAATATTCAGTTCTATTTATGCAAACACCAGATATAGTTAAGCTCTCCTGATCCCTAGAGTGTGTAAAATTTTCTCCTCATAGTTCCAGATATTTGACTCTAACTTAAAGGCTTAGCATCATCTTAACCACTAAAGTAAATCTTACAGGTAAGAAGTACCTAAAGAGCTTTAGTCCTACATTCTGGAACTTAAAATCAGGTCCCTAAAGCCTCAAATTTCATAATTAGGAAACTGCCTTGTCCCAGAGACTCATTCCTTACATTTTGTGGATCCATCAAGATAACTGGGACTTGCTTTGGTGTAACATACCCCATCCATCTACCCCTGCAGCTCTTTTTTACTTTCACCATTGCCACTTTTTGCTTTTTATTGAAAAATAGTGTCCTTCAAACCACTGCATTTTATTTGGAGCTCTGCTACATATTTGTGGTTTTGTTAGTGTCAACTTGTTAGCTGTTTGATGTTACAAATATCCCTTTTTCCTTTAGAGTCTATTTCAGCATAATAGGTACCTGCAAGGCATTATTTTACTACATGTTGGGCCCACTCTTATTCAAAAGCCTACTCTTTGCTAGTGCCAATACTTTCTGGAAATCCTGTTCTGCCTAGGTCTGTACTTTATTGTGTGAACTATAACGGAGTTTGTTCCCACCCCAAGCTTGTGTCTTTTATCAAATTGGAAGTGCAGGATCAATGTAAGTTTTTAGTTTCTGGCAGATTTATGTCACATTTTGTATACTGTCATATCTATAGTCATTTTTACCATTTGCACTTTTGGCTATTACCTACCTGTTGGATACTTATTTCATAAATTCCCAGAATCTTTTATGATTAATGCCAAACTGGGATGTGCCTAAATCTTAGTTAGTACTACATAGTACTAACTTATGCTGATTTCCCAATGAGCAATTTGCTAACATTGGACCATTCTTAATTATGTGGAAGTTTTAGAACCATAAATTCTTGTAAACACAGACTTGGTTGGAATATGCCAGAAATGTTAAAGCTAGTGATCTTTTTTCCCATTCCTTTATTCAATAATTCAGACCTTTCTGAGCATCAATTTACCCAGTTCCAGAATGGTTGTGAAGATTACTAACAATGTACATATGTTACTTTCAGAAATCAGAAACTTTTAAAAAATTCTCATTCTCACTGCTGTCGAGTTCCGACTCATAGTCACTCCTCCTTGGGTTTCTGAGGCAGTATCTCTAGGGAAGTAGATTGCCCAATCTTTTTTCCAAGGAGTGGCTGGTGGGTTTGAACCACCAGTCTTCTGGTTAGCGGTCAAATGCCTTAGGCACTGCAGAATTTAGTAGTCTATTCTGTCATCAGACCAACTGTAGGAGATGCTGACCTTTGTAGCAGAATTCAGAGTTCTTCGAACAGATCCCTATGCCTGATAATGTGTGGAAATCTTGAACTTGAACTCCACTCTTATTTGTCTTGGCTATTTTTTGGTACATGTCTTCAACCTTTAGCATGATAACTGGCACACAGCAGGAACCCAATAAAAGTTTGTAGATAGGAACACATGTTGATACAATCATTTTTGGAGAGTAATTAGACAGTACCTCTCAAAATTTTAAGATTTTAAGTTTGCAAATCTGTCATTCCAGCAATTCTATGTCCAGAAATTTAGATATCACTGGAAATATAGATAAGAATGTTCACACTGCAGCAATGTCTGCAACAGAGAGGAAACAAAAAACCAAAAACCTGGAAACAATTAATCAATATTGGACTAGTTAAATAAATTGTGGTACTTGTAATTATGGTACTTATAATCAATACGATACCTTGCACCTACGAAAAAGAATAGAATGTATGTATGTATATATTAACTGGTATAATCACTGCCCAAGATATATTGTAGAATACATACATTATGTTGCTATCTGTACAAAATAAGAGGATGTACATACACGTGAAAATAAGTATTTGTGCACAGTAAATATACAATAAGTGTGAATGTAAGCACTTAGAAAACATCCGGAAGAACAAATTAGGGGCAGTGGGACTTAACTTCATTGAATGCCTTGCACTACTTGAATGCTAAAGGATACGTACACAAACTCATCGACCTGTGCTACCGGTCGCCACCAAAGAAGGGCACTGTAGCCAACAGTCTTGTTTACTAATTAAACTTTCCAATAAAGCCAGCGTGGTGACGATAGCACGACGTGCAATGGCGCACGCGCAGTAGCAAGAGGCTCAGGCGCTGCCTGGGTCGGTGCCCAGACACTTCCGGTCTAGGCTCTTGTTCTTGTACTGAGGGCGTGGGTCTGGCGTTTTGGGCACTGTTGGCGTTGGGTGGGCGGCATCTTGGCGCCCACATGAGCCAGTGGCATCATGCTCGCAGCGACAGGGGCCGGGGACGCGTGTTTTCTGGACATGCCTCATCCAAAAAGAAGGGCAAAAATCACATCCCAGAAAGGTAATATGCCTTGACTCTGGGGTTGGCTCCTCCGGCGCGTAGCTTAAGGGCCCGGGTTTCATTTCTGTGGTCTCCGCCTCTCACCCTCGCCGCTGCGCTCTTGACTCGGCCGCCTTTTGTTTAGAACCACTGTTAGTTAAGTAGCTGAAACGGACATGATCTGTGATACTCCGTGATTTCTCCCCATCTTTTTAAAAGCGAGGCTCTGGCCACTGCCACTCGGATAAAATAGGGAAAGACAGCTTTAAGATCGGACATCCCTTGTTTCCCACAATGGGGCCTTCCAATTTCTCAGGCTGTGTTATTTTGGCACAGAAAATGTGAGTGATAACTAAGGTTGAGTGAAAGTACCCTCCAATACTGCCCCCAGATCTTCCATCTAAAGTTAGTTTGGATTCATTGCAGGTTTGCTTCCTAACAGGTCTATTTGAGAGATCTTCTTCAGTATGTTCACATGATTAAGTTAGAGATTTTCTTCGTATGTGTCGTATACTCATTTTCACTCCTTGAGACATTCTTGTCCCCATCTCATATCTAAGTCGCCTTCTTTTTTTCCTGAAGGTCTGTTTGCATCTGTGAGCTTCTTTCCCCGTACACTTCAGCATACATCTTGCTTGACCTGTTGCTGTTGGGTCCTAACTAGTCCCCATATGCCCACTCTTGGTTCATTCCAAAGTGTCACAGTAGAGCTAAGAAATCTTTTTAACAGAATACTGTTCATAAATAGCTTACTTTTAAAAAAAGAAGAAGAAGAAGGAAAACTAACATAAAAAACCAAACTCACTGCCATGAAGTCGGATCCGACTCATAGTCACCCCTCCATGGGTTTCCGAGGTGGTATCACTGTGGAAGTAGGTTGCCCAACCTTCCTTTGGAGGAGTGGTTTGTGGGTTTGAACCGCCAGGCTTCTGGTTAGCAGTCAAATGCCTTAGGCACTACACCACCAGAGCTCCTAAAACTGATATAAGGCTCCGCATTGTCTGCTATCTTTTCTGCTTCTCTAGCCCCATCTGTGCCACTTTGGTTCTCACTTTCTATGCTTTAGTTATACTGATGGGGGGAGGTGGGGGATTTTGTATGTGCTACTCGGTCTTGGGAGCTCTGGTGGCATAGTGCCTAAGGCATTTGACTGATAACCAGGAGGCTGGCGGTTCAAACCCATCAGCCACTGCATGGAAGGGAAGGTAGGACAAACTCCTTCCTTAGTGATACCTCGAAAACCCAAGGAGGGGTCGCTATGAGTTGGGTCCCACTGGACAGCACTGAGGTTTTTTTTTTTTTTTTTTTCAATTCATCTTGAAATATTCTTCATGTTTCACACCCCATCTTTGCCTAATTAATTCTAAATCATTCTGTAGAAGTCAGTTCAAATTTTATTTTTCATTATGTGTCCTAGGATTATAAAGTAAAGTTCACAGTCCCTTTCTGTCAGGTTTTCTTTTAAAATATGAACTCAGAATTCTCTACTGATAGGATTTGATGGCATTAGTTCTATGAGGATTAAAATAAACTATTGTTGTTGTTAAGTGCCGTGGAGTCGTCTCCAACTCATAGAGACCCCTCTTGGGTTTTGGAGGCATTATCACTATGGAAGTAGATTGATTGCCCAACCTTCCTTTCGAGGAGTGGCTGGTGGGTTTGAACCTCCAGCCTTCTGGCTGGCAGTCAAGTGCCTTAGGCACTACATCACCAGAGCTCCTAAAATAAACTATAAAATATAATAACTGATTTTACACTATTATAGTCACCACGTGTGCGTTAATGACATTTTAGTGTTCAGTACTGGGCTAAGTTTTATCAGGAATATAGACATTCTAGCCTTCTTTGGTTTTAGAAGTACCTTATTTGTGAATACATTTCAACTGTTTAGTGGTCTTACATCTGTTTTAAAGATAGAGAAACAGGAAGAGGGAGAACATAGGTTATTACTAGGTGGAATGAAAAAATGGTGAAAAATGCCAGGACAAGAAAAGAAGAGACATACTGTGTGGGCTGTGCTTCCCACTTTGAAGGGGCTTTTATCCTGTGCAGGAAGACAAGGCTGACATATAATTTGGATGACATAAAATGTATCTAATAGGTGGAAAGACTACCTCCCACTTGGACAGCGGATGCCTGGGACTCGTTTCATTGCTTTCAAAGTTCCTTTGAAAAAGGTAAGCACAAGTTAATTCAATATTCTTTAAAAAATCAGGATTCACTTTGTAGAACAGTAGGTCTACTCTGCTACCCTTTGTTTCCCCTTTTTATAGCAAATACTTTGTAGTGCCTACTTTACTATCCTGCGATGAAATTCATTGGTAAGTAAAACCTATGTCCTTACTTGATTTTTAAAGAAAGATCTATGTAGTGCTCTAAATATAATATAAAGAATAAGTAAAATAAAAGTAATTTATAATACAATAATATGCATTTCAATATATAAATGTTTGGACAGAAATAGTTGCTTATACCATGAATGCAAGAGCTATAAATCTAGACTGTATAGGTGGATTTCCATAATAATGAACATAATTACTATAGCAATGAATAGTTTTTGGTAGATTTCCAAACATAACAAAGTACAGTCTTTACTTGATTGATAAGATTATTACTATCTTGGAAAATTCAGTGTATATTGAAACTGAAAAAATGCTTTGTGTTTATTTGTGAAATGAAGTTAGGTTCTACGGCTTAGATAATTATAAACCATTTTTTCACCTATATGAATGTTGGACTATATATTCAAAAGTCATTCAGAATGTGGGCCACATTTCATTTTGTAGGTCTAGTCTGAATTTGGCAAGACATCTAGCTTCCATGACCCCTTCACCGCTAAATGCCAGTAACACCGCTTCCCTCCCATTGTCTCAGCCAACAAAATCCCCTATATCAGCAAGGCCAGGATTTCAGAATGGAAACTCTGAAGATTGTGGTTTTTGTTTGGACTAGGAAAGGTGGTTGGGAAAAACATTGACAGATATAAAAAAGGTGAGAAGAAAAAGTGAAGACAAATACTGACTTACAGATTTCATCACTAAACTTGCCCAGTGTGTAGCAAGGATTAGTGTCAGGAGATGTCCAATTTGAATGTACTAGGAATTTTTTCATTTGTGATTCATAGGTCAGGGTTTCTTTTTCACCTGCTACATCAGCTCATGTGCATCTGTGAACTTAAGAATTAGTTATTATTCACATCCACACCCACAAAAATAAAGCATAGTGTTTAAAGTTAATAAATAATTAACCAATTTTTGTGAAATAAATGAATTGACTCCCCAACAACATTTGCAGTTACTCTGAATTTTCTCTTATATCCTTCCTCCTCTCTAAGTAGAGTTGTCCTAACTCCTTAAGTCCCTGCTCTGTGGCCATTCCTGGGCTTTCAGAACAGTCCCTGCTCAGCCCCTTGCCTGAAACTATGTGAACAAGAGGAGAGAAGCCAGGAACACAACCACACAGCCACAGATCTTTACTGTATGTTGTCATCAATGAAGATTTCTTCTAGTTCTGTGTACTCAAGTTAGTTTAGCTAGTGTTAGGATTGTTATTTTAAACAAAACAAAACAAAAAACCAAACTCACTGCCATCAAGTCAACTCTGACTCATCGCGACTCCATTGTGTTTCCGAGGCTGTAAATCTTTACAGAAGTAGAATGCCCCATCTTCCTTCCCTGGAGTGGCTGGTGGGTGTGAACTGCTGACCTTCTAGTTAGCAGTCAAATGCCTTAGCCACTATGCCACCAGAGCTCCTTAGGATTGTTTAAGGTACCTGTTATGATTAAATTGTGCCCCCCCCCAAAAAAATATATGTTGGAATTCTGACCTTTAGATGGAATTCCCTTTAGGAATACGGTTATCTTTGTTAGGTTAATGCGGCCATATCAGTGTAGGATATGCCCTAAATTTAATCATTTCTGAGTTATTAAAAGCAGACTAGACACAGAAGAAAGCACAAATTGGGGAAATTAGATTCTGTGTGGTAAAAATGGTGGTGGATGGATTTACAAGCCTAGGAACTCCAAGGATTGCCAGCTACTAGAAGCTGAAATTGGTGGCATAGTGGTTAAGTGCTTGGTGCTAATTGAAAGTTTGGCACTAGCCACTTCACAGAAGAAAGATGTGGCAACATAAAGATTACAGCCTTGGAAACCCTTTGGGGCAGTTCTATAGAGCAGAACTACAGTGTCTACTACAGTAGAACTATTACAGTGTCGCTGAATCAGAATGTACTCCCTGGTAATAGGTTTGGTTTGAGAAGCTGAAATAGACGTCCCCCTAGAGCCACTCACTGAATTCAGACTGCTTAGCCCCGAACTGTGAGAAAATTAATTTCTGTTTTTTAAAGTCACTCAGTGATAGTATTTCTATTATAGCAGCACTTGCAGACTAATATATTACCATAAATGGGATTACAAAGATGTATAACTGCCCCCAGTGTAGTTACTCATGAAGTAGAGTTGGGGAAGTGAAATACCCCTGTTTGACTTTGAAATGTGGACATAATTTTCTCTGTGTCTCGTGGAAGTCACCCAAGTCAAAGCAGCCTCACCTTGTGACAGTCACTTTTCAAGCACACTGAAATAGTAGGATATGATAAGGGTCAAACAAATACTGTGGTAACAAACACTATAGGAATTCAGAGGGAGGGGGAAACTGATTACCCAGACGGGTAACTGAGAAGGCTTTCTAGAGGATTTGTGACTTTTAAGTATTTAAGGTTAGTTATCATTCAGATTGAGGAGCCTTGGTGTTGCAGTGGTTAAAGTGCTCAGCTGCTAGTTGAAAGAATCAGTAGTTCAAGTCCACTAGCTGCTCCGTGGGAGAAATATGAGGTAGTCTGCTTCCATAAAAATTACAGCTTTGGAAACCCTGTTGGGTGACTGTGGTCTGTCCTCTAGGGTTGCTATGAGTTGGAATCTATTTGGGGTTTTTTGTTATTGTTCAGATAGATGGAGATGGTAATTGATCCATCAACACAACGTCTTTGCAAGAAACTAACTGGTGAGATTGTATGCCTTGTTATAATTAATTCACTCTTCAGAGTCTTTCTTACAATATTATGTGGAATACTCAATATCATAAATCTGTCAAATCTTCCTGAGTTAACTTATAAACTTAATATTATTTCAATAGTAGGGATTTTCTGAGTGAGGCTGATTCTAAAACCTATGTATTCTGAAAATAAATAAGAATATTCTAAAAAATAAAAAATAAAATAATGGAGGGCATCCAGCCTACCAGATATTAAACCATATTAAAAGTGTGTTGCTGGCATTTGAATAGCCAAACATATGAGTGGAACAGGGTACAGAATCTTGAAATAAGTCATATATTTGAAAGAATTTAGCAACAAGAACAATCCTTCATGTATGTAGATATTCAAGAAGCACTAAATATGAGCAGGCAGTCTGCTTGGAGCTAGAGACAGAGTGGTGAACAAAATCAGCATGGTCCCTGCCGTTTGGGGATTTATATTTTGGATTGGGAGATAAGCATAAACAAACAAATAAATACATAGAAGTGAGCTTATTTTCTTCCTTTTGATATCCCCAGAAGAAAGCGTTATACTATAGCTTGCAAGGTCCAGAAGAGTAGAAACTTTTCTTTGAAGCTCATTGGATACTGACATCACAGGACTTGAATAAATGGATGATATTATATATATATAATCTTAAGTATACATTTATTCTTTCTTATTTCATTCTCTAACAGAGTTTTGAAAAGCATCTTGCTCCGGAAGAATGTTTTTCCCCTTTGGATCTTTTTAATAAAATCCAAGAACAAAATGAAGAACTTGGACTGATTATTGATTTAACATATACTCAACGTTACTATAACCCAGAGGTAAATGGAATCCTTATTTGAAAAGAGGTCGAAGGGTAGCTCATGTTCTTGAAAGTGAACCCTCTTCATTCTGATACTATAATAATTCACAACCTGGTAGTTGTCATTGTATGTTACTGTGAAGCCTGGTCTTTTTTCATGATTAATAGTTCAAAAAGGGAACTTTTAACCTGTTTCTAATTGCTATTGCAAAATAAGATTGAAAGGATGACTCCAACTATAATATTGGGCAGTAGGTTCTCTGTGTGCGTAAGAAAACCTATAAGTTTCCATAGCTATATTTTGAAAATGAAATAAATTTTAGCAAGACTAGTAGTGGCTTGAAAGGAAATAAAGGGACTATCTATTATATCTTCAGCACTTATTTTAAAAAGTAGTTTGAGCATGTCTAAGCATCATGGTAAAAAACAGTTATTCTCTAAATTTTATGCATTCTTATCCTAATACCTTCTGGTTTAATACAGAGACCTGTAATTTTTTTTTTTTTTTTTTTTTCTGATTTTTAAATTTTTTTAAATTGTGATTTGGGTGAAAGTTTAAAGAGCAAATTCATTTTTCATGCAGCAGTTCACATACACTTTGTCTCATGACATTGACCACAATTTACCCCAATGCAACAGCTCCCCTCCCACTTCCTCCAGGTAGTTACCTCTTCCCTGTGTCCATCCCTCCATGCACTCCTGCCCCCTCAGCTGTCTCCCTGTGCATAAACAGCCCTTCTTTCTCCCATGATTATTCTTTGCAAGGAGTGTATCTGTCTCGGGTAAATGTTCAACTCATATGCCTGTCTTTTGTTTGGCTGCAAACCACAGGTGTGGGTTCAATTCCAGACCTGAAGGGCAGCCTAGGGGCCATAGTCTCAGTGGTTCCACCAGGCTCTATCAGACCAGCAAACCTGGTCCTCCCCCTTTTTTTTCTCCAAATGATTTTGAGTTTTGTTCCACATTGTTCTCCCGAGACCTGTATATTTTGTTGGCTCCTTGCATGTGACATATCAGTGGGAAAGAATTATTTTCAGACCAGTTGTCTGATCTTTGGAAACTGTAACAACCTAATTAATGTTTGTTAATATTTGTATAGCCATTTAAAAGCACTTTCACACACTTTAACTTAGTTAATTCTCACAGCAATCCTGTGTTGACAAAGTAGTAGTATTAATTTCTCCTATTGAATGCTTACTAAGTTCAAAAGATAGATTATAATGAGTAATTTTATAGATGATAAAACTAAGGCTCAGAAGAGGAAGAATTGAAACTTGAACCCAGTTCTTGTCTTTAAAATGTTATCACAAATTTTAAGCATATATCAAAATAAATATAATACTTTTGAGTGTTAATGAACTCATCATCCAGCTTCAATATTTATCAATGCACAGCAATCTTTTTTTCATCTATACTGTACTTTTTCATGCCATATTTTAAGAAAATTCTCAGTATCATATTTTATCATACATTTTTGGTATGTATATTTAAAAGATAAAGCTTATATTCCTTAATATCAGTTTTTAATATTATCAAATATGCACTATTTGAATTTGCAGTTGTCTCCTAAATGCTGTAAAAAATTGTTTTTAAGGGTTTGAATTAGATCCACATAAGGTCTACTACACATTGCAATTGCTTGTTAGGTCTCTTAACTCTTATTTAATCTAACTTAAATTTTATTTATTTTTAAGAAATCAAGTGGTTTGTCCTCTCTAGGTTTCACTGATTGCATCACTATATGTTGTCAGCATATTCCTTAGCCTTTTCCTTTCTTTTTGTAAATCTGAAGCTGAATGTAGAGATTTGATTAGATTCCATTTAAATTTTTTTTATTTATTTTTTTAATACTTTCTCCATGGAAGCACTATTCTAGGAATGGGGAACAGAGCAAAGTCTTTTTGCCCTTATGAACCTGACATTCTAGTCCAAAAAACCAAACTCACTGCCTTGGAGTCAGATCGATTCATAGCCACCCTTCTTGGGTTTCTGAGGCGATGTCACTACAGAAGTAAATTGCCCAACCTTCCTTCCTGGGAGTTTGAAAGGCCAGCCTTCTGGTTAGCAGTCAGATGCCTTAGGCACTAGGCCACCAGAGCTCCCATTGTTGTTGTTATGTGCTGTCGAGTCAGACCCGACTCATAGCGACCCAACTCATAGCCAACCCTCCTTGGGTTTCCAAGGCAGTATCACTACGGAAGTAGATGGCCCCATCTTCCTTCCGAGGAGTGGCTGGTGGATTTGAACCGCCAGCCTTCTGGTTAGCAGTCAAGTGCCTTAGGCACTGTGCTACCATACAGGGGCCCAAATAGCCATGTCTTTGGCCAGTGGGAACTTCTCAGTTTTGCTGCTGTCTTTTTTGACATGACCTTAGAAATCTTTGATTACTTTTTTTTTTTTTTTCTGTTTGTATGTTTGTATGAAAAACGATCTAGGCTTATTTTGGCATTTCCTGTCCCAGGCCTAAAATCAACCATTTTTCCAAGGAGCTTTGATTTCTTTTTGTGGGGATGGTGTTTATAGATTACAATCTGAGTGCTAGAGGGGTTTTACTGCTTCTAGGCTGACATTGTTTCAATTTATGGGGGGAAGGGAGGGCAAAATACACAGACATACATATGTAAAGATGTTTTTAATACAAAATACATCATGGATTTATACTGGTACTTCCCATTTTAGTTTAGACCTAAAGAATTTTCACCTTTTCTGCTTATGTCTTTATCTGCTTTCTTCCACTCCAGCAATACCAGTTCTCAATAATGCCTAGAACTTACCAGCTAACAACTCAAATCCTGTTCTTCTGACTCTTATTTTACTAATCCACTTAAATCGCAGCTACTTTATGAAGGCACTAGCCCTTGAAATGTAAAATAGTAGGTGGAATTATTTATATAATTTTTATTTGCATATGCATTCATGCTCGTGTACTTTGCTTTCCAATCTGTAAATCTATTGACTATGTGTTCTGCACTTTTAATGAAAATCAAGCGATACTGCCTCATTGAAGCAGCTTTAGGGGAAAAAATGGCTCTTTCACCAGAATTACTAACATGCTAAATGTATTATAATCTCTTGGTTTATATTTTGACTCTAATTAATTTTTAATTATTTCTCTATAAATGGAATAATGCACATCTCCGTTGTTTTGCTTTATAGGAGTTACCAGAAACTATTCCTTACTTAAAAATTTTTACAGTTGGGCATCAGGTGCCTGATGATGACACTATTTTTAAATTCAAATGTGCTGTTAATGGGTTTCTGAAAGAAAATAAAGATAATGGTGAGTTTTTTTTTTTTTCCTTCTTCTTTCCTTATCTGAACTTTGATAAGCATTTTGAATGAGGTTGGGGATATTTACTAGTTCTGATACTAAAGCTCCTGTGTTTGATAATGTTAAGATGAAAATTCAGATAGTGCTAATAAGGTGTGGAGTTTTTCCTGTTGCTAGTCACATGTAGAACAGTTAACCTAGTTTGAAAAGTGTTTTTTGTAAGATATATGAACTGACTTAGCTCTCTCATCTCTCTAAAAAATTTGAATGGAAATATATAATAGAATAAAAATATTATTTTATTATTGGTTAAGAGATGAGAGGTGGAGAAAAGATTAAGAATCTCAGGGTCTTAGATTTACATAAAATTTGAGACAACAAAAGGAGTGAGACAGATGCCTAGAAGCAAAACAAAACAGATCAGGGGACTTGCTTCCTCATGAGATGTATTATTTCTGTTTTTCCACTTTGGGTACAAGTGAAGAAGGACACCACCATGTCTTATTCTTCAGGATGAAGAACTTAAGTCCAAGGCTAATGCTCTCTTGTTCGGCTTTAACATCTGTCTTACTCTGTTAAAAATAGATCTTATAGCTTCATAATTTTAAGGACTCAGTTGCCTTTTTCTGGCATCTAAGTACAGAAAGAACATGATACTTGGCATATTTTTAAAGACTAGGGAGCTTTTGTCCTTGGAAAGCTATTGGCCCACAGAATATACCATTCGTTTTATGCTCTTTCTAAATTGAGCTTGAGAAGTGTATACTTTAAAAAATAAAACTGTTGTTGTTGTTGTTATGTGCTGTCGAGTCATGTCCGATTCATAGCGACCCCTCCTTGGGTTTCCAAGGCAGTATCACTACGGAAGTAGATTGCCCCATCTTCCTTCCGAGGAGTGGCTGATAGGTTTGAACCGCCAACCTTCTGGTTAGCAGTCAAGTGACTTAGGCACTGCGCTACCAGAGCTCCCAAAATAAATCTAACACATACTAAATAGACTTTTTTTTTTTTTTTCCTTTTTCCCCCAAATGGCAGGGAAAAAGGGAGAAGGAATAGAGCTGAAGGAGGGAAGATAGGGGGCAGAGGGGGTGAGAGAGAGTGAGACAGGATCAGCAGGTTCTAAGATAAATTTTCAAACTGTGACTTTGTTGCTTACTGTAGGCATTAGCCCTTAAATATCTTCACTGTATACATGTCTTCCCCTGTACTTTTAATTTTAAAACTTGAGAGGCTTGACTTTACCTGTGATAGCCATGGCTTCACCAAAAGAGGTAAATTACCTGAGTTGTGTAAGCTGGTAAGCTATAGTCACAGAAATAATTACCTTTTAAAATGGTGTAGAGTACAACTACCAGGCTGTTCACTGCTTCCATGCTTCTTTGTATGAAGCTATTATGCAATGGTCCTAAAAGTGTTAGGGGTCTGCTTTCTTCGCTGCTTTACCACACAGCGTGAATTTGTTCCATGAGGGCTAGAAGTTCGTTATAAGTACATGAAGGCATATTTCTGAATCTTCACTGTTCCCATGTTACATCCAGTACACTGAGTATGTAGTCAGTTGGAAAGTCTTTTGGTCTGCCTGAATTGTGCCACCTTGATTGTGTCTTGCACTGTTCCTGCCATCGCAGTCTTGGGGCCTTATGATCAATTTTGGGTACCTCTGCTATAAGCTCTTCTCACAGATAACAGGTCCACTGACAAAGAAAAGAATACTACACTGTCCACTGCCTAGAGCTGATAGAGACTCAGAAGTTAGGTTGATTCAGTAAACACTTCCCGAGAGCCTTTTCAGCTTATTGTTAGGACATGGAGATACAGACTTGAATGGCAGTTATCACAGCTATCTAGGAAGATAAACCTGTGGTAACTGTGAGACAATGGCTAATTATACTAAAAGAATAAATTAAGTTCAGTGAGAATATACAGGGAAGATTGTGAAAGCCCTGGCTTAGGAGGTATATATTAGTGTTTTTAATGATGGACTAAGAAATACTATGGTGTATTTTTAAAAATCTTAGACTTGACTCTAGCCTTAATTCTGTTTGTCTGCTGTGAGGTTTGGGCTCACATCTCTGAGCTTCTTTGCTTTTCATTAAAAACTACAAATAATGCTGTTTCCCCCGAATACTTCACAGGACATACAACCAAACGAGAGGAGGAATGGGAATGCTTTGGGAACTCAAAAGTCTATAGAAACTTTTTGCTTTTTTTACTGTTCAGTATCAAAAGTGAAGACATTTAATTTGCTTCATTTAGAAGCATATGTTATTTTTCTCATAATCTTGTTTCCCCACTCCTTTTTCCTATAATTAAACCAATTACTGATGGACATTCTATATTGAGACAAATAGGTTTGTCTAATACAGTTTTAGCTGCTACTATCTGACCAGGCCTTTTCCACTTTACACCATTGGGCCTGACTGGGACTATACAAAATTGCCCAAGGAAAATGAGTTTTGGCTTTATGTCAAATGGTTCTTTATAGTATGTTCCTGAAAAACACATTCCTTTTCAGTGTTACTCCTTTTCAGGTAGTGGTAGCATTGTGCTAACTAATAAATATTATTCTTCAGAAAATTGTACAATTTGTTTTTAGTATGTGTATTTCACTTACTTAACTATATTTCTTGTTTCATAGATAAACTTATTGGGGTCCACTGTACGCATGGTTTAAACAGGACTGGCTATCTCATCTGTAGGTGAGTTGCCAATCCCAGAACAGACTATTTTAAGTTGTTTTTGTCTGATTACAGAAGTAATATAAGTTTGTTGCAAAAATTGCAGTCAATATAGAAATATACAAAGTAGAAAATGAGAGTACCTTGCAATCTTGCCCCCTACCCAGAGAGTACTATCATTAACAATTTAGTACCTGATTTTTCACACTTAAAATAAAAAAACAGCATATATATAAACATACATATATATAATTTATTTAATGGTATGGTATTTAGTTAAACATTCTGTTTTATAACTTAATATGTGCTAAACATATTTCTATGGAAGTATGTGGAGACCTCATTATTTTTAAAGGCTGCATTTTATTCATTTCTATATTGATGAACATAAAGTTTTTATATTGTAAAACATTGAACTAATGAAAATTACTGTATGAAAATCTTTGAATACATGTGTTATTATTTCACTCAAAATGGAAATTCTAGGTCTGATGATATATACCCTTCTACTTTATGGATGTTGCTACACTATTCTTTAGAAAATATCTATTGAACATCTGTTATTTGTAGGCACTGTGCTGGATACACAGTTGTGAGCAAAAAGACTTGACACGCCTCCTTTTGTGAATCCTAACAGTCTAGAGGAAAAGACATTAAAGAATCACAAAAATGCTTATAGGTTTGCAATTTTAACAAGTGTTAAGAAGGAGAGGTAGATAGACCCATGAGAGTATATAATGGGAGGGATCTTACCCTATCAGGGAGGTTAGAGGTTTCCCAGGGGGATATTTGAGCTACTATCTGAAAGATGAATAGGTATTAACTAAATAGAGATGTTGAGGAGAGAATTCTGGCAAAGACTCTATAGTGAAAGTGTACACTCTGCTGGAGAAATAGAAAGAAACCAATAGCATGCGCCATGAATGGAAGTATGGCATTAACATGGAGCTGTAAGTGTGGTAGGAGCTAGATCATGCTACTTTTTTTTTTTAAGGGCTATTTTTAAGATTTTAGACTTTATTTTAAGAGCAGTAGAAAACCATTGGACTTTGTTGTTGGGGGTGAGTGTGTGGAATATAATCAAATTTGCATTTTCAACCTCTCTCTTAAGTTATTGAGTGGAGACTACATTGCAGTGGGGGAGAGTGGGAGCAAGAAGACAAGTTAGGAGGCTTTTGCAGAAGTCCAAGTATACTGGTGGGTTGGACCAGGATGCAGTTATTATTTTGGTGGGAAAATAGGGACATATTCTAGAGCTATTTAAGTAGTATTGTTTCCAGAACTTGGTCGTGGATTGGGGATGAGGGTAAGGAAGAAATGGCTGGCAATGAAGGTGACACCTAAATATCTGGCCTGTGCGGGTTGGTTAGACGATATTTTGTGGATTAATGTTAGTAGTTTTCTCAGTTTTATTTTTGCTTTTTGTTTCCCTAATTAAAGCTGTCATGTTAAGGAAGTCTCCTGTTCTTACTGCATAAAGCATTTTGATGAAGAATGACTGTTGAATTTTATGAGATACCTGTTTTTTAATGTCTTGTCAATGTGGTATGGATTTTGTTTCTTTTCATATATTGTTATCTTAATATAACTAATTATATTGATAGATTTCCTAAAGCTGGATCATCTTTCTGTTCTTGAAATAAAATCTTTTTGTGTGTGTCTGTGTGGTCATGGGGTATCATTATTTAATAATTGTTGGAGTCAATATGCTGATAATTTCTTAGGATTTTTATATCTGTATTTGCAAGTGAAATTAGACTTTAAAAAAAAAACTTGATTTTTTTCTTTTTGTATATATAAATGACCCAACTTATGTTGTTTTGTTAGATATTTGATTGATGTAGAAGGCATGAGGCCAGATGATGCAATTGAATGTAAGTATGAGGATTGTCACTATTTTTCTCTTTTTGTAAAAGTTGAAGGTGGAAATGTACGTGGATTTCTCAAATTTTGAAATAAAGTTTATAATTATTTTGATATAAGATAATCTGCCAAAAGTTTATAAAGGGATATATCTGGAAATAGTGGTATATAACTGTCTGAATAATTGGTTAATGGATTAAAGCTTTGATTTGCTCTTTCTGGGAAAGATGTGCTGCTTGTATAATTACTTCTAACAGTTCACCTGCTCCTTAGTATTCAATAGATGCCGAGGACATGGCATAGAAAGGAAAAACTACATTGAAGACCTTCAGAGTGGTCCTATCAGAAGGTAAGTCTTAGGTTTTATATGTGAGATTTGTAGCTAAGGAGGTCTTTTTATATATATATACTTTAAGTTGCATGTTATCCATTCTTCTGGTAGGTTGTTTACTTGCTGGGGAAACCTGCATAAATAGAAATGGGGGAGGAAGGGATTCCTATTTTCTTAGGCAAAATATAATGACTGAATTGGCTACTAAATTTGGCAGCCTAGTAATGTTGTGTGGAAATATTCTCTTTGAGGAATTGGGGTTCCAGTGTATCCAGGTCAAATGGTTTTGAAGAATTGACACATCTCATGGAGCCAGTCCATACCACTAATAAGTTTGTTCATCAAGGACCTAGGTATAACCTACACTGGACTCGAGATTATCCAAGACCCTCTTGGCATTACCACTCCCAGAACCAGGAGTTTCATCAGTCAGTCAGGTACCTCTGCTTTCTCTTTTTTCTAGAATTGAATAAAAATTAATGTTACAAGTTAGTAAAAACACATGGTGATGATTATGAGAAATTGACATTTTCTTGATGATCATTGTCAGCCAGGAGGTATTGTCATGCTCTTTATTTTTCATTTAGGGTAGAAGAATCAAGTACAAGACAGGGAATACACAACTGTTCAGAGGCAATTGGGAAAGGAACTTAGACATTGTCATTGCTTCTAAACTTAGTTTAGGTAAACAGTTTGACATGGCTACCAAAAAGGATCTCGCATTCTTAGGCTACATTAATAGTGGCATGGTTTTCAGAATAAGGAAGGTTGTTATTTAAAGAGTAACTACAAGTAAGAAAAATATTAAAATCCCAATAGAGAAATCTGTGAAGAAACAGATAAATCACAAAAGTATTTTCACTTGGGAACAGGGAAAACTTCAGTATCATTAAAATAAACTCTTTTTAAAAGTTGACATCTTTAAAAGATGTAAACATTTCGAAAAGATGTGTGTGTTGCTAGTGGCATTGAAAATTGGCACAATGCTTTTAATAGCACAATTTTAATAGCTGTTAAAATATTCACACCTGCTAGTTCCATGTTGAAATAAGGAAATGCTTCAAAATATGGACACAGCTATATTCACTTGAACATTCAACACATTTTTCAAATTCCCTACTATGTGTCAGACACTGGGCTAGATGCTTAGCATATAGTAGTGTATGTACTGAGATACTAATCCAGTATTACTCATAATAATGGAAAAATAGGTATCAGCCTACATTTCTAACAATGGAAAGTAGCTAAATAGATTATTAGGTCCATATTATGACATTAAAGTCATTTAAAGTAATAGCTCACTTACATTAAGTGAAAATAATAGGTTGTGATTGAACAGTAAAAAAAAGATGCTAGGGAGGCGGGGCAAGATGGCGGACTAGGCAGAAGGATTGCACAGACCCTCTTCAACAAAGAAAAGGGAAACCAATTAACACAGACACAGAAGATAATCTTG